AGCAGGACGTATTTCAGCAGTCTAGTGAATCATAAGAGTTATCCTAGAAAATATGATAGGCACTTATCAACAAGGTTGGCTACTGGGCTACTGCAATTTTCAAATACAATTTATTTAACATAGGTCAAATAGTATACTAATTTATTTAACATAGATCAAATGGTATACTACTTACTCACTCCGTAACACCTACATTCCTCACAGCACACAACTTATGTCTACTTGTCCAGCAAGAGACAGCATCTTGTATGCTTATTATTACCACAATATATTATCAAACATAAATACCTGTACCAGTTGGTGAGTGTCATCATGATATACAGTGATGCCAGGAAAAGCATAAAGTGAAAGAAGGAATAGCTGTAAGTAACTCCATCCCTCTCGTTATCAATGGCTCGGTGAACATCATCTCCATCATCAAGGGAGCCGTCACTCCTGGGCATTCCGTCCTCTATCAGTGTTGATTCATCACTGGTCAGCATCAGCTTGTTAACTTGGCTGTTGTTGGATGTTCGGATGCTGTATTTGACAGAAAAGGACGCAGTACAGTTACCCAAATAAATGCAATTCAGTATTTGAAAGTGAGAAGTAATACAAGTTAATAGGATTTTTTTTAAAAGGAATCTTACCTTGAATAGAGAACACACAGCAAAAACAAAACCAGTCCTACAATTCCTTGTGCATCCCACCACTGAACCACCTGACCTTGGGTTGGAATGGTGGTGCTGTTGTAACCAATGATGCTCAGCAAACTTGGGTTACAGCGCCTATCTGTGGAGGAAATTACATTAGAACTTACATAAACCAAGAATAGAACAAATATTTAATCGTACATTTCCACACCAAATGCACGGTAAAAGAAAGGAACTGTCTTGAAGTCAAAAAGTTCTGAATCTAATTTTAGTCTATGGTCTCTATGAAGCAGGCAAGTGACAGTATGCGGCATAAAAATCTGTCTCTCTGCACAGATAAAAGGATTTTAAACTTATGTAAAATATGCATCAACTGCTTTACTGTTCCATCTCATATCATTAGATGCAACAAAACAAAAGTGTTCTGCATATTAAGCTTTAGAAATTCTACCACTAGAAAACAAGTCTGACAAACATACTCTTTAGATGGGGCACCAGAGTCATCTCAGAGTTGGAAAAGAATGCTACAAAGTCGCCTTCATATTAACAGTTCCCAACCCACAGCATCCACAGATAACACAGATGAAAGCCAAAAATAGCAGACAATCTTATTTCCCCACAGATACGACTCATACATATGCTGTTACACAGCAGCACAGAATATTGTCCACAATTAAGATAAAAGCACCAGAGACCCAATTAAAAACACCCAAGTCAATATTTGGCAGTTTGTTTTAATCACCAGAATTTCTGAATTTATTTATTTGAGATGCTCGGCTGTTTTTGGACACAAGAAACTCTGACAACGTTAATACATTTTTAAAAATCCTCAATTCAGAAAAATATAATCAGTAGCCTCTCAGTCACCAGGTAAGAAACTTGAAACCTGGTAGGGAGATAAACCTTCCAGACACCCTGGGAGAGTTGTGGTAATCTGCAAAAACTAAGCCTTAGAATACTGCAATCCTACCGACATTAGGTAGAAATTCTTCCATATGATAACCACAGGAGCAAGTCAAAAACATGTTATCTTTGGAAGAACTATTTCTTTGGTATATTACAGAGAGTTGTGGGGGGCAGAGAAGACAAACTAATGAGTCCTGCCTCTAACTGGCATGCATTATAGTACCCCATTCTAATACTGCCTTGCGAAAAAGTGAAGATAATGCAAATCAACTCTCGCCTCAGAGTTAAAACCGGTGTTTCTACAGAGAAAGCCCCTGAGACATCTGATGCTTCCACCCAGACGGAACGGGTAAGGAAGGAGACTTCAGTACAGACAGACTGCAGTGAGCGCCCAGACCCTTTCCCTGCAGAAAAAGTAAGTGCCTGCAAAAGCTGCGCACAGGTTGATGACCTGTTTCGCAGGTGGCTGAGTTACGGAAAACAGTTAAAAGGTTGTGCAGTATTAGCACAGCTGAGATGGACATAGATAAGTGGTTTCAGAACCATGCTCCCGTGGTGGACACCACAGAGGAGAAGGCACCTTGGACCCTGGTGACCCACAAAAGCAGGAGTCTGCTTCAGTCCCCACCCTCCAGCATCGCAACCATAAACAGATATGAAGCTTTAACAGCTGCTGACACCCCAAGAGCAAGGTCTGCAAGCAGCACACAGTGGATACCACAAAGAGACGAGTGCTTATAGTGGGTGACTCTGTTAAAGGGCACGGAGGTGCCCATCTGCTGACCTGACAAGGAGTCACGAGAGGTACGCTGCCTTTCAGGAGCTAAGGTCCCAGATGCTGCCGAGAGGGTGCCACAACTTGTCAAAAGCATGGACTACTGCCCATTGCTGCTCTTTCATGTGGGCACAAGTGACACCACAAGCTGGAACCTAGGCAGAAACAAAGAAGACTACAAGGCCCTGGGGGCCCAAGCAAAAAGTACTGGTGCCCAAGTTATCTTTTCTTCCTTTTCACCAGTTAGAGGAATGGGTGCAGCCAAAAATAGATGTATAATGCAAATCAACTTCTGGTTTCGTGGCTGCTGCCATCGTGAGGGTTTTCAGTTTAACTGATAACAGGACATTCTTCAATGAGTATAGCCTGCTAGGGAGGGATGGGATCCACCTGCGTAGAAGAGACAAGGGAGCCTTTGGCAGCAGGCTGGCCAACTCAGTGAGGCAGGCTTTAAACTGGAGGACTCGGGGAGGGGTCCGAAGCGGCAATGCTCACACCACTGCAACCAACTAGGGAATAAGCCAGGCCAACTAGAGCAGCGACAAATGTTCCTTAGCTGTCTCCCAAGATGAGCCAGAAGACCAACCACCTCAAGTGTACGTATACAATGCACGCAGCCTGGGGAACAAACAGGAGGAACTCGAGCCCCATGCCCAGTCAGAAAGTTATAATAGCATAGCAATAACTGAAATATGGTGGGACAACTCACATGACCGGAGGATTGCGATGGATGGCTATAGGCTGTTTCATAAAGACAGGCAGGGAAGAGCAGGAGGAGTAGGTCTCTATATTAAGGAGAACCTTGAATGCATAGAAGTCAACTACAGCGATTGTGGAAGCCCTACTGAATGCCTCTGGGTCAAGATCAGTGGGGTCATCTCCAAGGTGGATCTTCCCGTAGGCATCTGCTACCAAACTCCAAACCAAGATAAAGCCATCAAAGCAGTATTTGGGTGACTTAAGCAAGCTTTGGGTCAACAGAATCTGGTTCTTATGGGTGACTTCAACTAGCCAGACATTTGTTGGAAGAAGAACACAGCAGCTCATATGTCATCCATCAAGTTCCTGGAATGCACAGAAGACTGCTTCTGCATACAAACGTTAGATGTGCCAACCAGGTATGAGGCACTGCTGGACTTGCTACTCACAAACCATTACGTCTAGACAAGCAATCTGTGCAGTGGGTGGGGAACTTCACAAAGTTGACTAAGTGGGGAAGCAGACACTTCAGGAGAGCCACCCTGCAGGAAGACCCAGATAGGCTGGAAGAGTGGGCTAACAAGAACCTAATGAAGTTCAACAAGGACAAATATAAGGTCTTGTACCTGGGAAAATATAATCCAGGAGTGCAGCACAGGCTGGGATCTACCCAACTGGGGAGCAGCTCTGTGGAAAGGGACCTGGAGGTCCTGGTGGACAAGCAGCTCAATATGAGTGAACAGTGTGCTGCTGCAGCAATGAAAGCCAACAGGATGCTGGGTTGCATCAACAAGGGCATCACCAAAGATAAGGAAGTCATTATCCCACTCTACTCAGCACTTGTCAGGCCACACCTGGAATACTGCATTCAGTTTTGGTCCCTGCTATACAAAAGAGATGTGGACAGGCTGGAGATGGACAGTGTCCAGAGAAAGGCGACAAAGATGATCAAAGGACTGGGGAGCCTGCCATATGAGGAAAGGCTGAGAGAATTAGGTTTATTCAGCCTTAAGAAAATAAGGGTTAGGGGAGATCTTATCACCATGTTCCAGTATTTAAAGGGTGGCTACAAATAAGACGGAGACTGCCTTTTTACAAGGAGTCACGTGGAAAAGATGAGGGGTAATGGGTACAAGTTACTCCTGGGGAGATTCTCATTGGACACAAGAGGAAAATTTTTCACAACGAGAACAATCAGCTATTGGAGTAATCTCTCCAGGGAAGTGGTGGATTCCCCATCATTGGACACTTTTAAGATTCAGCTGGACAGGGTGCTGGGCCATCTTGTCTAGACTGTTCTTTTGCCAAGAAAGGTTAGACCGGATGATCCTTGAGGTCCCTTCCAACCTGGCATTCTATGATTCTATGAATTTACTGCTGAACTGGTTACCCAAAAAGCCATATATTGCTACTACACTTACCTGGTTCATTGGTCATAGCTGACCAAGTCAAATACATTGTATAAACTGTGATCACAGAAGACTGCAGCAAACCAGATCTTGGCTGAGATTCCTATATGAAGAAGTCATGAAATAGCAAAGTTAGGCAATTAAAAGATCTCAGGCATGATTATATTACAGGTTTCTGGGACTGATAATACAGAAAAAAACCAAAAGATAACAGAATTAGAAGTATACCTGAATCCTTGGCAGAATTGACATTATAGAAGCACCAATACACAGCAGCATATTAACACTGATGAATGTCTTGTTTTCAGAACAACCTTCTGGATGAGTGTAATAAACATAAAACAAGACAATAGCTACTAGAGACAGCAGATAATTGACAGCTGTAGCTGACAGCAGAGCTGTGAAAAGAGACAAAAAAGTTAAACTGATTAATAATGGAGAGTATTAAAACTGAAATAATATTGCATGATTATCAGGTTTCATATACAGTATACAATAACAGAATTAGAGAGCAGCTCTGGGCACTGAAATGTAAAGGAAGTAAATTCCTCTCAATACCCTGTTAAAAAGAAAGAACGTAATAAATGGGAAGCCTGAAGCCACACTTGATTCTCCAGTGCTTTAACAGCAACCAAGTAGTACAAGGGAATATGATCACACTACATACACCTTGTCTAAATGCTTAAGAAAGAAACTGAAGGACTACTTCTCCAATAGAAAGAAAAACAAAATTTTCTTTCCAAATTCCATCTTATTAAAAACATTAAAGAGTGAAGTGGCCATTGCACAAAGACAGGCTGTGCTGTCTTTTGAAAAACCTGAATTATCACATCTGAAACGCTTTATTAAAATTAACGTATCAGTTCTACAGTGAGATGACTTGTACCCTCCTTCACTATCTTGGCTTTTCACTCAGCATATACCTTCAAAGAATGATCGACTGGCAGACAGAAGGAAAAAAACAATTATTTGAGATGCTTATGTTCAACATGAAGCAGAAGCAGGCTAGCTCATTTTTAATCAGCATGAAGGTGTAACAAAGCCTGTCGCTGAAAAAAAAACCAAAAAACAAAAAACAAACAGCCCACACAAAACAAACCCCCAAACCTACAATTATCACTGCTCTGTTACCATAAACTGATAACCTGCTCCAAGGGTCCAAGGGATTAGACATTATTACTCAGAGTCTGCTGCCCCCTTCCCTGCCCCCTCTTATTTAACTTTACATCAAACACACAGACAAGGGTGCTGAACTACACCATCTGAGAAAAATTATACTTAGGCACAAAGCAGCCCTTCTGTACTCTGCTAAAATGCATTATTCACTGAATAACATTTAACTTAATGTACAATGAAATTTAAAATTTGTTTGTAGTACAGTCCTTTACCTGCATACCAGCATCTTGAGTTTCCTTCCTCCATTTTTTCAACCCAAGACTCATTCCAGGAGTGGGCAAAGTCAATAAGCAAGACCAGCTGAATAAGAATAAAGCAGAATGCTCCAGCCATGCCTACATAAAACCACACTAAAAGAGAAATAAAACAAAACCAGTTCAGAACCATAGATAATTTACCACCATGTCTTAATGTCCTTAAACACAGAAAAGTGCTGTAGTTACACAGCTACAATAAAAACTATAAGACATCAGCATGCATTCAGTTTTGGTTTAAAACCAGTTATGATTGCACCATGATACAGTGGAAGACAATATTCCCTTACCAGTTGTAAATGGTCCCTCTGGTATGAAGAAAGCTCCAACACTAATTGCAAGTGCTGTTGCAAATTTAAAGAACCAGAATCTAAAGAGAAATTAAAAAAAAAAAGAGTCAGGCAACTGCTAAGTCTGATCTAATTCACAAAAACTTGAAGTACACAAAATGCACATCTTTAAGAGTTGGGCTTTTCTAATTCACTCATTCTTAACTTGCCTCTTCTGAAGTAGGATAAAAATCTTATTTTATTTGCCCAAGATTTTTATTCTCCAGAAAGTTATGCTTAAACTGTGCTAGACTGACACAGAGTTTGACAAATTTCCCAGAGATATCGCATTGATGTATTACAAATGAAGCTAGGGTGGAATATAATTGTGAGGTTTTTTAGGTTTTGGGTTTGGTTTTTTTTTTTTTTTTTTAAGGTTTTTAACTACAGCAGTGAGATTATTGAACTGCCTACATATGAGAAAAATTGGTAAAAAAAAAAATCTCCTATCTGTTCTTAATTTTAAAACCAGAAAAGGTAGAAGATCTGGTTGGTGTCTACAATGACAGAAAACATTATGCTGGAGTTCCCTACCAGTCTTGATTCACTTCTTACCAGAGAGATGTCCAAAAGCCTGGGTTCTTCGCACCTAAATTCAGACTCTTTAGGCCTACATCTGATGAGGATTTATCACAACAACAAAAAGCAAAGGATTTATCCTTCACAGAAAAGATGCAATAAAATTCTAAGTCCCTGTTCCAGTGCAGCAGAATTGGATTTTTTTCCCCAGTAAAAGACGTGCACTCATGGACAAACAAAACACATCAGGTGTTTCCTAGAAAGACGACAAGGAAACACCTTCCACCAAAGATTCACCAAACTCACCCCAAATATAGACTGTGTACAAATACACCCTGCATAGGGAATTTCAAATCAGAAAGTTATGCCAACAGAACTACAAGAAGGTGAAGACTGTTTTTTTCTGATCAGAGTGACAGGCAGCTCCAAATATAGGAGCATGTACTTCAAAACTGAATATAGCACAAAGACATGTACCACACCCCCACAATGTCAAACACTTGCACACTTTTCAAGTTTTCTATCCCTTCCTTTTTTTTTTTTCCTATACTTTGAACAAGTTTAATCCTCTGGCCATTACAATCAGGTGATAGTGACCACAGGCACAAATTCTGTTTGTGTGGACGGGAACTATGTGAGATGACAAAAGTGCAGAATATGGGAAAAATGGACTAATTCACTGGGATACAAAGAAGTGACTAAACCCAGTTTGAAAGTTGAATCAACTTATAACATTTACGGTGTAATAGATACCCCACTAAAACTAGTTTTTGAATCCACATGTGGAATTTTACTTTCTCTGTTATAGAAATAAGAACAGGTTCAAGCTTGTACAAATTTCAACTCTAATTCCAGACTTTAAGGGATCTTAAATCTACCCATATAACATGCGTGACAGCCAAAAACAATACTCATCAGAAATAACACCTACAGTTGCTATGCGTTCTGTGCAAGCCAGCAACAATCCTGTGAATACATTTAACTTATTTTTTATATTAACATTAGCCTGAGACAAGAAACCATTCTGACTGTTGTTACAAAAGCAAAGAACGTGAACATTGGCACTGGACCACATTACTGGGCTTAACTTGCATGCAAGTATGAAAAAAAATAGTACATATACACGGGAAAAACTAGTATTCTGAGTACTTGAAATCACTGACAGAAAGATTACATTGCAAAGTATTACTGAAGATACATACAAGTTCAAAAATCAAAAGCCATGGTTTTCATAAAGCTACCTGTAATGCATACTATGGAAGCAACTAGCTATTACAGAAGTGCTGGAAGTAACATTATTAAATATTTTACCAGTAATAGTTAATGAGTGCCATTTTTCCTTTCAACAACTGACACTAGATTGTCTAAGAAGAGTGAACTGCTATAGGTTGCATAAATAGTACCAAAATTTGGAGAGCACAACTCCAGATAAGGATATCAAGAAGATGCCAAACACTTAGACACAGTTTTAGGTAGAGATACCACAACATGTAAAAGGTGCCTTTTATTTTAAAAAACACAAAGTGTTGACATAGAATGCACCTGAACCATTTTCTTGTTTGTAACACGTATGCTCTCCTGATCAAAGCAGGGCAGGGGGAAAGGCTGAACTGAGTTACTGCTGCTAATGCATCTTAGTACTGTGCCCAGCCTCATTTTCCTTAGGCAGAAACAAACACAAAAATAAACAAAGCAATATCCTGCTCAGTCTTCATTATTTTCTTTTCCCCTACAGAAATAATTTGAAGTTTGTCCTCATTTTATGTTAGAAATGTTTAATCTTATCATACTGAATATAAAATGATGACTTCATTTTTATAGCTTACCTGTTAATAGCTTCCATTAAAGATAAACACCTTGAAAATTCCAGCAGCAGCCTAAGCAATCACTGTGACCACCGAGACCACTAGACACCACAAACGTCTTTATGCTTTTTACCACCATGCCCCAGTATAAAAATATGCATCTCTGCAGTTCAAGAAGCTACATTACATGTAAGCTAAGCCTGGATGAAAACTACCACTTGTGTCAACCCACAAGCTGAAATTCCACTATTGTCTTCCATCTGATAATTCTAACTATAATAAAATGCAAGAGAAATTTATCGGGAAGCTCAGAAACTAAATACATAACTCGCTCTTCTTTATGCAGAGGGGAAGACTGAAGAGCCAGCAGAAGGGGAAGAGATATGTTATATATCCATGTGTGTGTATACATATATATATATATAAAAAAACTGTTATAATCTTTAAACTAAAACTGTTTGGCAAAGAGCAAGCACTTACAAACATCAAAGTCAGGAGAAATGTAATTCCTAGAGGACAGATGAGGCTTTTTAATCTTTCCGTTTGCTGAAAACATCTCAGTGGAATGAAACTTATCGCTGAATTTTGTCATCTTTGGACAGAAGAAGAATCTCTAATCCACTGCCATAATTCAGGCTCTGAAAAGTGACAGCCATGTGTATCTTTTCCTCTTATAAAAATAAATCTGCCGTGTCTAAGAACTCTATCATCTTTGAATGCCCTCTACTGCAACAAGAGTGCACTCCTCTAGCTACTATCAAATTCTTTCTTTGTGGAACAGTGAATTTGACCAGCGTGCTCAGCACAGGCTTTACTTTCAGAGTAGCTGTATCTCATATGCACACACCCCCCATCTCAGTTCTCATTTCTGTATCTTACCCATTGTGCACTGCTGCTCTTGGGTCGTTGCTGCTTTTCACTTTGATCATCAATAAGGAGAAGAGCAGGAAGAACATGGCCATACCAAAACACACACGGTACACAGCTTTGTAACCAACTAGTACATCGCAATTCACGTGGCCATGAACACCAGGAATAGTTGTCCCCATCCCTCCATCACAAAATCCAGGAATCTGTGATAAATACAAGATACCTCAGTGATCTGTAAAAGGCCTCCTATGAGTAAATACATATTAGCAATTTATCAATATACAACTCATTAATATTGTAATATTATACAACTAGTATTATTGCTAGAAAATATGATACTGAAGGGTTATATTGTTAGTTAAAGTCTAACCAAAATATTAAACATATTCAAGGAAAAAAAAATCCCACAGGCAAATTCTAAACAAAACAACAACAAAAATTTTATTACCAGTGGTGGGTTGGTCTGGGTTTGGTTTTTTGGATTTTTTTGTTACTAGCAATTTCAGAACTTCATATAACTAATACACTGTAAAATCCTGTAAGCACTTCCTAATATCCTTAGTGTAAAATATGCTTCTATCATTACTGAGAGGAATTTTTGTTATGTATTTGCAGACTTTAAAATAGAATTTTAACTAGTACAGCACTATGAAACTAGAAGATATCTTAGACTGTGGTTATTTTTTATTCCTTTATTAACAGCAATCAAAATTAATCAAGTGCCACAAATACAAGCATATCAACAAACTCATTTAATTTAAAACTCAACATATATAATTTTTTTGCTTGATACAAGATTTTATCTTTTCTTCTCTGAGCTACTAAAGAAGAGCTATAAAAGCAATATTTCTAAATAGTGCTTTTCACCTATGCAGTGACTGTCCCACAAGTTCTTTGCTTATTTGATCTACAATCAAATTAACCGTGATTGTGAAACACAGGTGGCAGCAAACTTATGTATTTCCAAATAAAACCCATGCTTTCAAGATGTTGTTTGCAATTATCCATGACATTTGTTCTACCAAACATGTTAGCAAAGAAGTAACCTGACCTTCTTCAGCTGCTCTTCCATGCCTGGTATTAACATCACACAGGCAACGCTCACACCAAGAAGTAAAAAGAATGCATAAATCAGACGAGTTATGGTGGAGTTGTTTCCACTGGGGCAGCATCGGCAGAGCAGGCATGGGGCACTTCCACATAAGCACGGTATCTGACAGAGAGACAGAACATAAACCAAATTCTTAAAGAAGTTTTGCATTGCTAGATTTCAATATTTAATCAGGCTGTGTTAGATCATCAGAAGTTATGATGTAAAGTGACTCATCCTATGCATCTCATCACTAGTGCGGACCAAGTTGCTTCAACATGCTACAGAGCGCCCTAACAACCTTGGCAGCACCTCCTAATGCACCACCATAGAGTGAAATTAGCGCTATGTCAGAAGTAATCATCTACCCATTCAGAGGAAATAAAGATTGGACTCAGGCTTATTTGTTCTCTTGAATTCTATTTCATTTCAGCTAAATGAAATGCAAGGATTGCTTTTAGTTAACGACTACATCCTCCCTTCCACATCTGCAGAGATTAAACAAATACACCACAAAAAAAATTGAGTGCAACTGGGATCTAGGTACACTTTCAGCGTCTGGCAGAGTAGGGCCACAGATATCACTGAGGCCCATCAACATTAATGAAGCACAAACAATAGGTGCAATAGCCTAAAACTTAGGTTGCAAATTACTGCATATTTAGCAACTAACTCACATATCACATAATTCTCCGTCAACTGGCAAAATTAACTTATGCAATGTAGAAAGTTGCAAACCGCAAGAACAAAGCAAACACACAGAACACATATCATCACTACCAAATACCAATGGCAAGAGTGGATAGGAACACTGTACAGTTATAATACGACAAGGGAAAAAATTAGGACGTTACCTGTATTCAACTCTTAAAACCGAAAATGGTGGGAAGAAGGAAAGTGAGCAGATAGTGCTACTTCACAGGGGTGGGGGGCGCAGGGAAGAAGAACTAACTTCATCCCGTTGCAATTTTCTGCCACTTGCTGAGTGACAATTCAGGAAGGAAAGGAAGGGCAAGATTCCACAAGTAAACATAAGCCAAAAGAGAAAAGGTGCAATCAAAAAAAATCTTTGAGGGTTGCGTTTATTTTTCTATTTAAAAATAAATTATTTTGCCTAGAAGACAATATCCCAGAGAACAGTTAACAGCTAAGTTTTGGAGGCCACATATTTTTCAGCTAAAGTTACGTTACTAAGTAAGCACTGCCCCATCTGAGCTACAACAGACTGTGCAACCTCTGACAAAGATAGTGAAGGGGGGTAAAACCCATCTTCCCCCACAGCCCACACACAAGGACTCCGCAAATGTAAATCACCACATCAAAGACACCCTGTCAGTCACATAAGAACACGACTAGTTACAAAGCCACATGACCACTGCATGTCAAGCATCTGGTACGACTGCCGTGTGTCAGAGAGAGCTGTTAGAAGTTTTGTCATATGACAAACAAAAATGCCAGCAGTCTGACACCACAAGGAAGGCCCCAGGGTTGGCAGGGAAGAGCAGACAGACTGCCACAGCACTCTCCTGAGAAGACCTCAGGAAAAGGCTCAGATTATCTGTTCTTATGGGTTCAACCAGACCCACACACTGGACCCACAAACTGGGGCTTTCAAATAATTTCCTTGTATTCTTTTTTTGTAATTGTGTTCCTTTTCAGGGATAGAAGAGCAAAGAATTTTCACTCCACTATGCTACAGAATCAATTCTAAATTAGCAAACTTCACTATTAAATTTGTCTTGCTAAAAAACTGAAATTAGGTACATTCTCATTATAACTGTTTCAGTATGTAAAAGATTATATTAACCTTTTTTACCTCCTCCTCCACTCAGTATCTTTACTGCACAAAGAGTATAAAGATACTGATTCCAGAAGAGGTTTCATCTCAATCTAGGAAAGAAATTTTTTACAGTGAGAACAGTCAGTCACTGGAACAATCTCCCCAAGGACGGAGTAGAGTCCCCATCACTGGAGGTTTTCAAGATGCAACCAGACCGGGTGCTAGATCATCTCATCTAGGCTCACTTTCCCACGAAAGGCTGGACCCGCTGATCCTTCAAGGCTGTTCTATGACTCCAAGCAACTACATTAGGGGCATCTATGCTCAGTAAGCAGGAAATGTATGGCAAATATTGGCTTAGGATCCATCAGGATTTTATAGTACTAATGTATTACACTATTTCCTAAACACACACAAACAACCTTTCTAGTGAAGAATATTTCTATTTGCTGTTAAAAAAAAAATACTTTCTTGAACTAATTCTATCTTGAACTAATTCTATTTCATTCTATCAGCATTAATATTTTTAAAGACACTGTTGAATAAAAGGTTGAATTTGGCCAAGTAGAACATAAGCCTGGGCTCATTTGCTGCAGAAAATTTGGTGCAAGGACTCTCTGGCATAGAAGTCACCAGTGTTAAATTGTTTGTTAAATATCGAAGTAATTCAAGCACCTTCCTCCTGAGTGTGTCAAGGGGAACTCACAGGAATGCGTATTTCTGGGGACAGGGCAGGCTTGCAGTGGCTGAAATAAAGATGACTGTCTTCCACTCACTGGCAAACAATGCGCCTCAAAAGAGGCAGTATACCTCACTTAAGTGTCTGAGCTCAAACACCAGCTTTTAAAACATTTTGCCCCCAAAGAGCTCATTCTTACAAGCTGTGACCATGCACATCTCTGAACAAGAGACCTATTGATACTGTTTATACAAGTTGGCCACTTCTACAAGGCATCACATTGCAATCCAAATCCCTCTTTCTTTTAGCAAGACAGAATAAAATATGTAACATTCCAAAAAAATAGTATTATAGTACTATTGGAAAAACCACTTCTAACAAGTAACAGACTTCAAAAAGAACAGAGTGCAAAAGAACATTTGACCCATGAAATTGAGTTTATCAGCAGAGGAGACATGGATAATTTGTGTCACTTACTTCCTAAATTCAGAGCATGCCTCCTACAAAAAAGTACTACAGTACAAACAATAAGATACTACTACACAGATCAAAACGTAATATTAACTCCCCAGGTGAAGCCCAGCTTAGTCAGAGATGTAGACAAAGAGTTATTCCACAGTTAGTTTTGAGCTTGCTCTCTTAAGGATGCTTCGACAACAGTTACTAAATCATGACTGCATAAACCTACTGCCATCCAGTAACATTTGGACTTACCAACCAACTCACATCCCTGCACGTTTTTCAGAAAAAACAAGCAGCTCAGTGGTGTTTACTGAGGCCAAATAAGAAAAGATGACCCACACACCTATTCTGGGAGCAGCCAGCTGGGCAGACAAGCTAATTCATGCCTGCTAGACCAGTCATTTCGTTCTCTAGGGCAGAGGAAATTGCAGGAGAACACACAGTAAGATTAATATTGCAGAAGAGCAAAGGAGAGAGAAAACCACAAAAAAATACTGAAAGTCAAATGTCACTGCCCCTGATGCACACAGAACAAGTTTTTAATATCAAACGTAATCTTCTTACCAGTGTAATGACTAAATTACTATATACTGAATTAAATATTTGCAAAAACGCTAAGCCCCTCGTTCGGCCTAGTTGGGTTTTAGCTATATCATCCTACTCCTATGCTTAAAGGAACTGATTCAATCACGATCTCTGCCTTGAGAGAGAATATTAAAGTGAGGGAAGCAGCAGCTCCACTATTTCAGAGAACAGTGCAATAGAGGGAAGACCCAGCAGAGTGAAAATGGCACTGCCTGCACAATCTAGGTTATCAGGATCAGAATAATTTTGGTGTGATGACAGTGCTCTTAAGGCCTTCTCCCTCATTCCACCCCCCACCTCCAACAGGCTCATTCTTTGCTTTTAAAAATGCTAAACTGAAACACTGCCTGATCAGTGCACAGTAGGGCAGAACTACAACCAGCAGTAACACCGCACAAAAAATCCAGAAGAAATAAAGATACGAGGCAAGGTCAGGCACCCAGGGCACCACTGCACAGCACAACACATGGCCTTGCTGAGAAGCTACACAGCTGAAGCAACACCGGCAGCAGCGTCTTCCCAGACAAAAGAGTAGTTTTCCCGTCTGTGGCACAGTCTGCACTAGCACAAATGCGCTATATCTGGTTCCCCCGTTACTCCACCCTCACAGTTTGTTTCTCTTTCAGAGCCACAAATGGTGCGCATCCTGACTTCTCCTCAGAGATCAGTGCAGATTTCTCCTATAGGAACTACGGTATAGGCTTTAAATGCTGATGACCTATTGTTGTCTAAGTGGAAAGAAAATCAACATTTTACAGCCAGCGGGGGGGGGGGGGGGGGGCAACAGGACGGATGGACACAGGACACATGGGGAACCCCAAACACCACCATACAGAAAATCCCCCTGATTTGTTTGGGCACTTTAAAGCAAGGGATGGGGGGATGGGGGGTAGTTACCCGCAGTAAATCTGACATAATCATTGTAAATCATTTGATCTAAAAGATTATTAGCTGAATTTGTACAGAAACAAACACTCAAAACCAAAAGCAAATACACAGGGATTCTTCATGCACTACAAACACCAGCCATTTATCAAAAAGGCTGTTTATGCACTTCAAAATGCAGTATATATTAACTCAAGTATTTGAATTTAAACCTACAGTTATACTGTCGCTTACTATTTGATAATAATTAAAAATGTTAACATTAACTATATTCAGCTAGTCACTAAAGCCTGACTGACTAATCCATTAAGTAGTATTTAAAATGTTAATTAAAGCAAAATAAACACTGACAGTACTTCCTTAACAGGATATTATCAGTATTCTAGTTGCTTATTTACACACCTATCAGCCTGGAAGCTTAGTTCATACCAGTTTACCAATTCTAGGATCATTTCACAGAATTTGTACAGGAGATTAAGGAGTTAAGTATCATCTCTAATTAAATATCACTCTGTACTACTGTAACCAAAGTTCATACATATTGATAGCACAAAAAATAGGAGCTTGAATAAATATGAGGTTTTGTTAGACCACTAAGTTCTGTATATGAACTGTTTAAATATAGGCAATTTCCTTTAATCCAAATATGGTACAATACTTCTGGTATGGAAAATTCAGATTTTTCACAATCCTGCTGGCATTTTTAAGCCAAATGTCTAAAGAGTA